GGAAGAGGTAGTAATGAGGGAAGGAGAGAGAGAGAGAGAGAGAGAGAGAGAGAGAGAGAGAGAGAGAAGGGTGCGAAGAATCTGAAAGACTTGGAAGGAAACAAAGAAAAGAAAAGAAAGAAAGAAAAAAAGGTCAATCAGCCAGCATGCATGATCGAACAGCAAGGGGTGTAGTAATTAGAACAGAGGAACAACTCTTTTCTCGACCCGATCTGCCTGATGCAGAGAAGCTGCGTTCGGTGTTTTCCCGCCCACGTTTCCCGCCCGCATCTCGATGTGGGCGGGAAAAGTTCCCGCGTGCCCGACCCACCAGATTATTCTTCCGATGCTTCTCCTCTCCCAACCAACCCTTTGCCCGAACCGCGGAAGGCCCAGGTCGGCGGTTCGAATCTGTGCGTGCACGTAGGAGGGCTGCCTTGGGCCCAGATAACTACTCGATGGGGTTGGGAAAAGTTCCCGCTCGACTACCGGTAGGTCTTTCTCATCCTTTTACCAATCCTCGGCGCCCAATTCGGGGAAAAGCTTGCAGAGCACAGTGATCTATGGTAGGCATTATTCCTGAAAAGGAAATCTTGGTGGTTCTCGATGTGGGTGGGAAAGTTCCCGCCTGACCAGAGCTCTTTCCGATCCTTTTCCCAATCCTCTGCGCCCCCGCCGACCCCCGCGCCCCCCCCCGTCCCCCCGCCCCCTTGGGCCGGATTCGAGGAAATGTACACAGACGCAGACGTAGTGCCTTTTTAATTTTTAATTTTGTTTTTTTTTTTAATTACATAGTGCCATTTGATGGGCACGACCGAAAATAAAGCTAAAGGATATAAGGACAAAAAAGCCATAACAAATGACTAATACAGCGAGCGATTTTTTTTTTGTTTTTGGGATGTGGTGGGAAAGTTCCCGCTCCCGACCAGTCTTTCGTATCCCGCTCCCGACCAGTCTTTCGTATCCCGCTCCCGACCCTGTCCGATGCTTTCCCGCCCACATGGGGGAACTTTCCCGCCTACATGGGGGAAGCGTCGTTGTTTCTATGTGGGTGGGCGGGAAAGTTCCCCCATGTGGGCGGGATAGTTCCCCCACGACCAGATCTTTCCGATCCTTTCCCCAATCCTCAGCCCGGCGCGGAAGCTGCGGTAGTGCCGATAAGGCGGGGGGAGGG